TGGGAGTGGGGGCTGGGGGAAGCTTTTTTGCTTTTGCTTTTCAGCCTGGAAGCCAGGCAGGTGCCTCCTGCCCGCCTGTCCTGTGGCACAACTGCCGCTCATGAGCAGAGACCCTCGGAACATCCAGGCGGGCCTCTGCCCCCCGGGGCTGCTCCCCTTTCTGGGCAAGGGGACAAGGGGCTGCAAACAGTCTGATTCGGTCGCAAACTCCTAAAAGGGTTGGGAAGCAACTGCCTCTTCAGCCACCTTCTCCCTTTCCAGTTCGGGTTTGCGTTGGTGATTTTTTAAAAAAGGGGGGGATATGTGAATTTGGGGGGGTTTTCCCCCTTTGTTTGGAATTTTTGTAGCAAATGGCACTTTAGTACAATCTTGGGTTCCCTTCTGGTGCTCTGATGCTTTCATTTGCTTGGCATGCCGAGCGCAAGCCAAGTTTGGGGCTCTTGGACATATTTAGACATGCACTACTAAACAGATCCTGCTAGAGAAATCTGTCTTCGAGCTATGCAGCCGTTCCTACCGCTCGGATGCAATGAGCTATCGCTGCTGTTCCCCCGCTGCAGCCACGGGGCTGTGACCGCATCCAGCCTGTACGCACAGTAGCTGTTGCCGAGCTGAATTCACCCAGTGCACGCGGGGTCACCTCTCCCGCTGGGTTTTAGTGCTGCAAGGAAGCATCTCGCCGAGTCCCAAACGCTGCTACTGTTTAACAACGCTCGCAGCAGAGTTTGTGCCAGCAGCTCCCCGCAGGGAGGGGGACTGGGAAAAGGGAACGTTTTCTCCCAAAAAAAAAGGGATAAGGGAGGGAAAAAAAAACGAACAAAAACCAAAAAAAGCACTAACCACGCTGCTACTGCACCCTGGAAGCACCGGGGTGGCGGTTTGCGTAGGCACGGTGTCAGCAGAGGGCAGCCTCCATTTAGCAGCACGATCCAGCCGGAATGGCACAAATGCACAGGCCTTCAGTGCTGCCAGCACCATCCTCATCGCTCTGGGGAAGGGGCAGGTAGACCTCCATGTCCAGCAGGGCCGTGGTGGAGTATCTGCTGCTTCGCAGGCTGTGCCAGCCCCGTCTCGAGGGGTTTGTGGGTCCCACCGGAGGGATTTCGATCCACTTGGATTACACGCTGCCTGACGCGTTTGGAAATGCAACAAATAAAGCAGAAAGGTTCCTTCTCGCTTCGCAAGCTGCCAAATTGCGACAAGCCCTGTCTTCTTTTAGCTGCTGTCAGGCCTTGCCAGGGCTGGGATCTGCTCAGTAAATAGCCAGCTCGGTGGCGGCTGCCCGGGGAGGTCTCTCCTTTGACACATTGTTGGCAGGGGATAAATAATAAGAGGCAGGACTCAGCAATGCAGTGGGGAAAGAGAAAGGTCCCTTGTGGAAGCTCCTCAGCTCTGTGCAAGGGAGCAAGGGCTTCTCCGTGGCCTCCAGGACCGCATGCGCAGCCCCTCTGGGCTCTCCTCCTGCTGCCAGTCTGGTGGGAAATGCCTGACCCCCTCGGAAACCAGCCCGCAGCCGTGCTGGCACGTGTGATACGGAGCCAGGGGCGAGCAAGGAGGGGCAGCTGCATTCCCAGCCGCAGTGCAAAGTGTGGGGAGGGAGGTGGCTGCAGAGACCTGGAAGCACCACTCAGTGCTGGATCCGCTCTCCCCCCATCACGTGGGGCACTGGCGGAGCAGCCGGAGGCAGGGAGGGAAAGGAGGGAGCAAGCCTCAGTCCAGCATCGCATCCAGCTGGTCAGCCAGGTCATCAAACATGTTGCTGATGTCTTCCAGGATGTTCTTGGCTGAGTGCACGGCCCTGGGGTGGCTGGGGAGGAAAGGGAGACAGTCAGAACACCGCCCAAAGGCTGCAGGTGCTGATGGGGTAGAGTTGGCCAGGCCAGACCCGACCCTCCTGGCGGCAGCCGGAGCTCAGCACACAGCCGGACTCGAGCATGAGCGACCTGACGCGGTCAGGCATTTGCCCATGCACAGCCCTTCACCTGCCCTCGCTGGAGGCTTCTCAGTTCTGCCTTGAGGGGCCCAACCCCAGCATTTCCCTCAGCCACAGTGCTGCCTCACCTCTCCGCCTCCGTGATCTTCTTCTTGGCCACCTGCAGCGCAGCAGCCAGGGTGGAGTTGGTCTGCTCCAGCCGCTGCTGGGCCAGGGCGGCCCCTGGGGCAGCTGCCAAAGGCTGTGTTGACACCTTGCTGCCCACCTCCGGCGTCAGTGAGCCGGGAGCAGCCAGGGACCCGATCACGTCTGGCACCACTTCGGTGGCCACCCAGGGAGCAACAGTGTGGCGGGAGGGCTGCAGGACATGCTGGTAGATGGTCTTGGGCCCGGAGAAGACTAGCTTGGTGGATGCCACGGACATGTGCTTGGCAGGGACATCTGCAAAAGAAGGGAACTTGTGGCACGCAGTGGCACATGTCCTCCTTGCCTCTCACACCAACCCAGGATGGAGGCTTAGGCCCCCCTGCCGCCTCAGAGACACCCCCCAAGCCCATGTACCTGGAGTGGGTGTCCTCACCACGGCAGTGCCAAGCAGCTCCGTGGGGCTGGGGGCTTTGGTGGGGCTCGGTGCCTTCTTGATCCCTTTCTCCAGTGACAAGATGCTTTTCTCTATCTCGGCAATCCTAAACTCCACACTGTCATCATCGAAGGCATCCCCGGCCAGCCCAGCCTGTGGCACCGGTGCTGGCATGGTGGGGCCCGCGATGCTGACTGCTTGGGCCTGGGCATACTGGGGCGCGGGGCTGGCCCCCAGCTCAGCCTGCCCCGCCATGCTGAACGCCTTCAGCACCCCCTGCAGTGGCTCCCGCTCCTTGAAGCGGGGCCGGCGCTTCACCGTGTCCGACTCGGTGAGGTTGAACTCCAGCACGGGTGGCTCCTTGGCAGCAGTGGGCGCCGCTGGCTCCTTCCCAGTGGAGTTGGGGGTCTCTGCTGGCTGGGAACCAGGCTCTGTGTCCAGCATGGCTACATCGACCTTGGGGTGCCCGGTGGGTTTTGGCCGCTGTTTGATGGTTAAGTTGCCTTCTTCTGCAAAGGGGATGCACTCACTGGAGCTGTTCTGGGAGGATGAGGAGGAGACCCCCGGCTTAGCCTCCTCCTCCGTGTCTGAGCAGGCATCCTCCCGCCCGCCCTGCGCAGCCACCTCTGTCATAGGGGCGCTGGGCTCGCTAAATGTCCGTCTCCGTGGCTTGCTGCTCTCAAAGGGGTCCCTGCCAGCTTCAGAAAGTGTGGCACCGCTGGTGTCACTGCCATCACAGGATTCATCGTTCGCATCTGCCCCGGGGAGACAGTCCTGAGCCACATGCAGCAGTTTTGGGGCCAGGAGGGGCTTGGGCGGACTAACCCCTGGTGTCCCCTCCAATGCAGCTGCCAGGCTCTTCACTGTCCTGCCACGGCTGACGTCACCGGGGCTGGCACCTGTGTCGGCCACATCCTGAGGGGCTGCAGGCTGCTGCTGGTCGGGGGG